TGTGAGAGAGAGAGAGAGAGAGAGAGAGAGAGACAGAGACAGAGAGACAGAGACAGAGACAGAGAGAGAGAAAGTGTAGCCGCCTGTGTCTGCCCTGTGATGTCCAACAGCCCTGTGCACTGTTCTGTGGCACATCAGGCCCAAGAGTGACAAGTATAAATTTGGCTCCACAATACTTAGGGGGGCTTAGAAAGGTCACAGCCCTTTATTTCTCTAAATCAAGTTCCATCTGCTCCCAGCGTTCCTACCGCTGTGCTGGCGGATGTACGATCTGAGTCGTGAGCAGATTGTGGGGCCAGAACATTTGCAGAAAGCCCTCCCCATCTTCAGTCCTCATGCTCAAGTACCCTCTCTTGAAGGCTCTGGCTTTGTGCCAAGCATAGCCTGGGTCTTGGTGTTGGGCTTCCCTCTTGGGTGAGGATGAGCCAGGGGCCCCATAAAATGGCTTTTACACTGCCTTCGGGGCCACCGAATCCTACTTTTCTGTAGTGGGGGGAGGGTAGTGGCATAGGTGCCCCTGGTCTGCACAGGGGGTGGGCCCCTCCCCCACCCCCGCCTGTGACAGGGCCTGGACTTGCTTCTCAGGCAGATGAAAGAGAAGGGCCTGGTGAGCATCCAGCGCCTGGCGGCCTGTCACGCGGAGATCCTTGCTGGGAGGCTGCACGACGTGTCCTTGGCTGTGACTGGGGAGGTGAGGCCTCACCAACAGCCCGTGTACGATGTACTCCGCCCCACCCCGGAGCCAGTCCCCCTTCCCTGGGACTGTTACTCAGTGCAGGTCACACAGCAGCCACGGAGGGGCCCGTGGCATCCTCGCTTACTTCTCAGGTCTTAGCCAGTGAGGTGGGAGGTAGGTACCCATTCCTCAGATTGGAAAACGGAAGCTTGGGGTCTCCTTGTTTCTGTGTCGCAACCACGCATTGTCCTCTGTACCCAAAACACCAGAAGGAGGATGGAGTGTTCTGAGCCAGGTCTCCAACTACGGGGCGGTTGTAGCCCCTCCCGAGTCCTTTCTCCCAGGGGGCTGGTGCTTAGCCAAAGCTGGACCCAGAGGGGCAACAAGATGCATCTTATCACAGGTAGAAGCTGTGCACCCCTCCTCACCCCTTGGGAATAGACTGTTCGAGTGTGGGGCCTTGTAAAACTCCAATTGAACACAGTTTGTGAAAGTACATTGTAGACCGTTATACACATTTCAAATGTTAATGATAATGCTGGAATTAGTAATTATGATGATAACAACAGTAATAGTAATTTTTAAAAATGGGACTGTTTTGCCGGGAGCTGCTGCGAGGTTTTGGGTTCCAGCCTGGTCAGGCCTAGGCCTGGGGCGCAGGCAGAGGCGGCAGGAGCAGGGTGTGCACTCTTGGCATGTTCTGGAGTCCTCGGCAGGGTCCAGCAGTCCTGGAGGGTCCCTCTCCTGTCTCTCCCCAAGGTCACCAACCTCCGCTCCAAGGTGTCCCGCTTGGCCATCAGCACCCTGGGAGACCTCTTCCGGGCCTTGAAGAAGAATATGGACCAGGAAGCTGAAGAGATCGCCCGCTGCTTGCTCCAGAAGATGGGGAACACCAGCGAGTTTATCCAGAGAGCAGCCAACCGGTCCCTGGGGGCCATGGTGGAGCATGTGACCCCCGCCCGCTCCCTGGTGGCCCTCACCTCGGCGGGCATCTAGTAGGTGGTGGCCAGTTGTCTGAGGGGTGGGGGTGGTCCAGGGGAGTGGCCCTGGAATAGGAGGAGGGGGGCTGGAGAAAGTTCCTCAAGAATTTAGCTGGGGGAGGGGGCCCCCCGCTTCCTGGCGGGCTTCTCTCCCACCTCTCCTGGGCCACACTGGAAATGACAAGGTGAAATCTGGGCAGCCCTGAGCCCTGTCTGAAAAGGGAGAGGTACTTTGTTCTGTTAAAGACTGGGGAGCTCATAGTGGCCTCGGTGACTTCCCTGGAGACCGGGCGGCAGAGGCAGCCCACACCGTGTCTGAGGAGCGCCTGCCCCTCTCCCAGGGGAGGGGTGTTTCTTTCTGATGAAATTTGGGAGTCAGGAGAGTAAGGCACAAAACCTCACCGTTTAGCTGGCACTGCTTGGCCTTCTGCGGAGGAGGAAGGGGCTAGTTTCTGTGTTTGTGAACACAGAAGCCCTGCTTAGATAAGGTGAAAAAGAAAGACATGATATCCCAATGGGTTTCTCTTGTAAGATTTCAGGCTCCCCTTGTGATGGCTACCAAATCACCCGTCAGCTCCCCGTCACTCCCTCCTGTCTCAACTCAGCTTAACAAATGTGCAGTCAACTCCCACTCAGTGTGGGCGTGTGCCAGGAACAGCGGGCACTGCTGATTCAGCTGAGAGGGTGACTAGGTGCTCACTCCCTGGGCGTTCCACCTGACTGGGGAGCGGCAGGGGTATATCTGTACTTCCTAGGGGGCAGGGGCAGTGCTACCCTAGGGAGTGTCTGGTTCTGCCTCAGGGGCTGGGGAAGGCAGAGGAGACCTGGGTTGGGTAGGATCTTTCTAGGTGGAGGAAAGATGGGGAAGTGCGTTTAGACAAAGGCGGACTCCGAACTCAGGAAGGCGCAGAGAGCGGTGGGCACAGGTGTATCTGGGGGACACCAAGGGGTCTCAGTCGTCAGGCCCCTGTCCCATGGTTGCTGTCATCGTCTTTCGTTCTATCGTCAGGAAGTGACTGACAAAGATTCCCCTTAGCTCACACGAGACAGAATTCAGAGCCCATCACCTTTTGAAACATGGATGCACAATTGCAGGTCCACGTGAGCCAGTCTGCGCCCCGCCCCCTGCACTCTGTTCCTTGACTGAGCTCTTGACCGTGATTGTGTTTCCTTTCAGCCACCGTAACCCCTTAGTCCGGAAATGCACTGCCGAGCACCTCTCAGCGGTTCTGGAGCAGATCGGTGCTGAGAAGCTTCTCTCGGGCACGAGGGACAGCACAGACATGCTGGTGCACAACCTGGTGAGGCTGGCGCAGGACTCCAACCAGCACACCAGGTAACACAAGGCCAGGAGCCTAGGGGCTGCGGACAGGCCGGCCCAGGGCAGCTGAGGCGACCAGCCACCCCCGAGGGCCCTGGCCCCACAGCTCAGCTTCGCCAGCATCACGCGGAGGGACAGTTGGATGGGTGGAAGCTGTGTCCTTTCCTTCACAGCTGTCGTCCCATCTCTCCCCACTGTCATAGCCAGGGACCGGCCAGCAGTCCCCACCTCCACCCTCTCACCTTCCATTCTCTCTCGAGCCACTGCTCCTGTTCCGTCCCAGCTCCATCATCTCTAAAGACTATTTATTCATTTTCTTCAAGAGACGTTTAGTGAGCACTATTTCTGTTTTTATGACTATCATAGGAAATAAGAAAAATGCCTCTGCTGTCTTGGAGTTTACCTCCTAGTGGGATAGATGAATAATAACCAATAAATAATTATGATTACTTCAGGTACAGATAAGGACATAGAGGCAAAAACAAGATATAATGGAGAATGGGGTGTGGCTACTTTGGACTGAGAGCTCGGGGAGAGCTTTCTAAAGAGTGACATTTGAGTTGAGCACTGACTGCTAGTGGGAGCCAGCTCTTTGAGGGTCTGGGGCGCGGGCATCCCAGGCAAAGAAAATGGTGCAAAGGCCCCCTGGACGGGAATAAGTTCTGTGTTCTAGGAAAGGAAAGGCTGGGCTGGGCTGGGCAGAGCACCGTGAGTGGTGGGGCGTGGTGGGTGGAGAGGACGGAGCTAGGCCGGGGGTTCCTCACAGGCCTTGGTGGGGAGTTGGGATTTTGGTTTGTGTGTGACCAGAAACCACTGGAGGAATTTTTAGCAGGAGCATGAGGCGGTATTAGCTGGTTTGAAGCAGGAGAGTGATTGGTTCTGATTGATTACCTTTAGAATCCAGGTTCGAGGTCCAGTTAACCACCCTTCTCAGCTCACAGCATGTTATTACCATGTCTGGAGACCACAGCCCGCCCTGTGCAGCTCCGGAGGGCACGTCCACTCTGCACTCTGTTGCATCCCAGGCAGGGCATTCATGAGGACAGGCTGAGGATGCTCCCTGGAGGGATGTGGTGCATGCTATTTCTCTCACCTTCCCCGATGCAATAGTGCTGCACAGCACATCTTCCTACGTGCCCCTGACGAAGCCCAGGGGGAATGTCTTTGGGAATATGCCCAGGAACAGGGACCGTGGTCAGGGGCAGCCCAAGCATTGCCAGGAGCTCTTCTGCATGCTGCTCCCTCTGCCTCCCTCATGCCGTGCCCCAGGTGCCTACATCCTCACTACTATGCAATATCTGGGTCTCTAATTTTTATTGATCTAATGGGTAAAAGCGTCAGCTCAGCATTGTTTCAGAGAGCCCTTTTTCCCCCATTACTAGTTAATGTTTCTGTATATGTTTGCTAGCCTTTTATTTGGGAAAAAAAAAAAAACTCTCTCTGGCTGCTCATTGGAGGATTGATAGTGGGGGAGGGGTCCAGGATGGAGGAGGACACCAGATCGATGGCTTTCCCATAGTCCGGGCACAGGCGCTGGAGGCTGGCAGAGGTGGATTTGGGTATAATTTGAAGGCAGAGCCAACAGGAGGTAGGTGGTGAGGCTTTCAAAGAGGGATCAAAGATGACTCTTAGGTTTATAAACTGAACAACTGCGTGAATGATACTGCCATTTACTAAAACAAGCACAGTTGTCGGGGAAGAAAAAGGTTTTGGTTGGTTTGTTTTAATTGCTGTTGCGGGGATGGAAATCGAGGACTACGATTTCTGCAGATCTAATACCCTTCTCCATTCTGACCTCTCTCTTGGTTGGATGGCGTTGACTACACTTCGTTTTCCTTCTGGGAACCCTGTTCTTTCTGATTTCACTCCCTGGTTCTCCTTGTCTTTCTGTGGCCAGTTCCCTACCCTACCTGCCCTCTGAATGTAGGTGGCTGCAGGAGTGCATTTAGTCCTCGTTCCCCGCTTATGACTTTCCCTGGTCAGCGTCATTTCTTCCTGTGGCTCCAGCCACACTAAAACTCTAATGCTTCCCAACTTCTCACTCCAGCCCACACCCTCTCAGTCCCGTATCTCTGATGCCGCCACAGGACCCATCACCAGGATGTCCAACCGTCATCTTTAGTGCAAAGTGTCCCTAAATGAACTCATCGCCTTCTCCCCAGACCTGCTTCTCTGGCTATGTTCCCTCTATTGTTAAAAGTCACTATTATTTACTGAGTCATCTAGGATGCTAAATGAGAAATTTCATACTTCATTGATTCCAAGACACACTTCTCCCCTACATTTTAATATTTTATAATCAGAGGCATCTCACAGTTGCTGTTGGCCAGGCAGCAGTTGTAACTTAGGTTTTACTATCTGCACATCTGCAAATTCATTGTTGCTCATAGTATAAGCCTTTGAATTAAAATTTGCATTGTAGGACCTATGCTATGAGCCTTCTTTGCTTGTTAGCCTCTCATATTTATTTTAAGAAGTCACTGTGGATGCTCCATGGGGAATCATTGAGTTTAATTGCTGTTTAAAATGTCTTAGAAATATTACACTATTACTCGGCATTGAAACGAAAAGTTATTGCATATGAGAAAAGGCATGGAAATAGAGAGATGGGTACAAATTAGATATTAATGCAAACATTCATCATTGAAGGAATGACCAAAGTTCCACATTTTCTTGCAATCACCAAGCATTTTATCTGGCCTAAGGATACTACCCACAAGTAATGCTACCTTCTCTTTCTGGGATAGCCTGTGAAAGGGTTGTCTTCACATGTGAGGCAGTGTCATTGAAAGCGGTGAATATAGCCAGTGTTCTCTTTTTCTGTTTTTTTTTTTTCTTAGTAGAAAATAGATTAATGGTGCATTTTACAATCAAGAAAGTCTTAGAGTGAGCAAAATATGATCATGTTCATTCAGCGCTTCAAGCTCCACTTTCAATCAGCTACTGAGTCCTGCAGTTTCAACTTCCTTAGCAGCTCTTGAACCTGATCACTCTCTCGTGCCTCCACTCTACTGCCTTACTTCAGGTCTTTTTCAGAACCAGTCACTTGCCTGGACTATTCTAGGTAGCCCCCTAATCGGTCTTCTGTCTCCCAGCCTTGTCTCCAAAGATCCTCCACACTGTTGCCAAAGACATTTTGATTAAAGTGAAAATCTAATCCTTCCTCAGCTTCTCATTGCCTGCAGGCTAAAGCCCGACTTCTTCCCATCTGCCTGAATTGGTCCTACCTTCTTCTTCAGCCTACTGTCTTCCTGAGTCCAGTCCCTGCTCACTATTCTCCAACTACACAGCTGCTGATGTGTCAGATTATCTTATGGACCCTAGAATAGCTCCTTCCTCCCACTTACTCACTAATTCTGTCCTACTTATAAACTCCTACTCATCTTTTGAGTCCCAACCCAAGGGTCACCTCTTCTATGAAGCCCTCCTTGATTCTCTTCCCCACTCATCCCATTCACCAGGTAGAGCTGACCACTCTCTCCTATACTGCCCCACTGCATTCTTCCTCTGACTTCTAAATGTCCCATACCAGAAAAAAGTTAAGTACATTTTGGTACAGCCATCCAATGAATATTATGTAGCCATTAAAAAGATGACATGGGAAGATGATTAATGATTAAGTAAAAAAAGCTCGATATGAGTTGTATATATACATTCTGATAGCAACTAAAATGTATGCACATGGGAAAAAGACTATAAGAAAACATGTAAAATGAATAGTGATTTTCTCTTGGTAATGGGAGTATGGATGATGTTTATTCTTTTATGAATCTAATTTTTAATTGGGTAGGGATTATTGTTATAGTTAGAAACAGTATTAAAAACTCTCTTACTATAATTAGAAAATTATATAAAATTGTAAAGCAACTTCGTGATGCATTTCTGTGGCTGTTTCTTTATCTTACTCGTCTTCCTATGGCAGATTTTACGGCCGGAAGATGGTGAATATCTTGATGTTGAACACGAAGTTCGATGCATTTCTGAAGCAGTCCCTCCCATCCCACGACTTGCAGAAGGTTATGGCGGCCATTAAACAGCGGGTGAGTTGGCGGGCTGTGAGCGGGTCTTGAGTGGGGGCCGAGAGCTGAGCCTGGGAGTCCTCATGCTGGTCAGGGTGTGTGTGGGAGCGCCCTCCAGAGGCTTGTATTTCACCTACAACACCTGCCAGGTGGGATAAATGTGATTTCCTTCCCTTGTGCTTAGACTGGTTCTGCCCTTCACAGCCTGTGTCCCTTGAGCCTCCCTGGGCCTCCACGCTTTCATCTGTGAAATGGGGGTCTTGACCCCCATTACTTGGCACCAAGTAGCAGTGCTCCGGAAGGCTCAACTGTGCCCTCCAAAGCTCCCCCAGGTGGAAGAGGTTATTTCTGTTGTGGTGTAGGTTGGAGTGTCTGGCACTTCCCTAGAGGCTACTCCTTTTGGCTCAAGTTCTGTGCGTATTTTTCAAGGGAATAGAAGATAGTAATGAACTTCCGTCTGCCAAAGGCCGCAAGGTGTCAAGGAGTCTGGAGGTGTGGGAGAATGGTCTGCCAGGCGAGAATGGGTATGTCTTCTCCTGTCTCTCTGGGGTTCCACATCCAAGACTGCCAATAAAGGCGGCCAGGGGAGGCTCTGGGAGGAAGTGTGGATCTGGGCTATGGCTGAGACCTACATGGGTCTGTAGCACTAGTGGGAGAATTTATAGGAGTGTTCCTCCACCCAAATCTCAAGGACACCAAATCCTGGGCTCAGGAGCCTCTGCCAGTAGAAGTGGATTCCCACAGTCTTGGCTGGGGTCGGGGGTGAGATCTGCTGTCGGTCAGCCTGTCTGTGTGAGCTCAGCGTTTGTCCATCCGCTTAGAGCAGCGGATCCTTTCTCCATCAGAGGGATGGGACTAGATGAGAGGAAATGGGCTGAGGAGCTCTGTGCCAGGCTCACTGGGTCTCTGTTCAGATGCCCGGAGAGGTTTTCTCTGACCGCGCCAATGGCTGCTACAGCCCTCGTCCCTCTGTCTGTTTGTCCTAGTCTATTTCCTTCTGTCTTATCTGTCTCCCCAAAGGGAATGTAAACTCTAAGAGAAAAGGGACTCTCTGTGGTTCCCCGCTGCATCCTCAGTACTTAGAACAGTGTCTGGAACATCGTAAGGAGCTCCTAATACTTACTGAATGGGCGAGTGAACGCTTAGCGCCTGCGTGAAGAGATCCTGTTAGCACGTACGCAGGACAGGTGACCGCTGACCACTTCAGGAGGAATAATGGGCCGACTGTGCCTTTGCTTCTGCCGTCCCTTTGCCTGATGCTGTGCCATCTGCACCTAGAATGTGCCTATTCTGCGAGTTTCCATGAGATTCGGCTCTCTGGTCACCTTCTCCCAGAAGCTCTCTCTGACACTCTGTGCTTCCATGTCCTCTGGGTGGATAGGTTGTCCTGTTCTTCAGTCCGCTGTCGGCCCGTTGACTTACCTGTGATGTCTCCCATTGGTCTGTGAACCCCCTAGGGCAAAGATCGTATCGCTCATCGTGCTGTTCTCAGTGCCCTGCACAGCGCTTGGCATTCAGTAGGCAAAGAGTGTGGGTTGTAGAAATGAGTGACTAAATGATGTTGGGCTCTGTTGGGTGGGACTTGGCTGTAGGGCACGAGCTCAAAGACCCAGGCTCTGAGCCGGAGCAGAGCTAGGAGTTCTGCATGAAGCTGCTCTCATGTTGGCTGGAAAGGGCCAGGATGGTGGGCTTGTGGCCCCTGCGTAAGAGAACATGGCTTCTTAACATTTCCCTAGTTACCGGAGGACCGTGAGCAGGGCTCAGGATCCAGGCACCTGGCAAGGTCTTCCCCTGCTCTTAGATTGACTGGACACTGGTCAGCCTTCCATGGATTCCCACCTCTTTACTTCTGAAAAGAAAAAAAATAATGCAGAAAGAGAGGGCCCTGCCCCCCAACAAGGGGTTGGGGCTCTAGGCAACCATATTGTTGTCCCCCAAGGAAAAGAGATTTCCAGAATCCCCAAAAATCAGGCGAAGGAGAAACTGGGACTGGACAAACCTGGTGACACTCTTATCACAGACTCACCTGTCCGTGGGCGGGGGCATGGGACAAGAGGTGTGTCCATCCCCTGGGGCTGCCCGAGTCAGATGCTCCCTCCACTTAGGCTCCACTCCAATGGCCCGCGGCTGGCGGGGCTGCGCTCCTCCGTGCGGGGTGGACAGGAGGTGGCGGAGCAGCTGAGGGAGCTGACACGGCTGCTGGAGGCCAAAGAGTACCAGTCTCGGATGGAAGGCGTGGCGCGGCTCCTTGAGCACTGCAAGGCCAAGCCAGAGCTCATCACCGCCAACCTGGTGCAGGTGAGCGCCACCACACTCTTGCCCTCCACCTGTCTCTCCCCTGTGGGTGCAACTTCAATTTGGAAAACTCTGAACAGGGTGAGACTTTGAGCCAGGCCCCTCAGCGTAAAGGGAGACCAACAAGCATTTGCTGTCCAGTTGCCTTGGTGATGCTCTAAGGCCACCTGGAAGTGGCTGAGAGGGACCAGGGCACTGCCCTCCACCAGGCTCCTTGGGGCTGCTCAGAGGTGTCCTGGGCATCACTTATCCCTCTAGCAGATTTATGGGGAAGAGGGCAGAAGTGGAGGATGCTGTAGCTGAGGGCTGCTGCTGGTTAGCTATGTGCATAATGTTTTGGGGCCAGTCAACTAGGCCAGGATTGCTGGTCAGGTGGGTTAGGGCCAGGCACAGGCCTTTTACAGGCTGGAAACCAGAACAGAGCCTGCTTCTTCCAGGAGCGAGGCTGCTGACTGTCAAACCATATAGCCAAGTAGTTGAGACACAGGCTTGAAGTCAACAGACCTTGGGCTGTGGGACTCCTGCCTAGCTCGGGTTCCCATGGGCTCTTGGTTTCTGTTCCCTCCATAGGTCTTTGATGCTTTCACCCCAAGGCTTCAGGATGCCAACAAGAAAGTGAACCAGTGGGCGCTCGAGTCCCTTGCCAAGATGATTCCTCTCCTCAGAGAGAGCTTACACCCCATGCTGCTCTCTGTCATCATTGCCGTTGCAGACAACCTCAACTCCAAGAACTCGGGGATTTATGCTGCTGCTGTGACTGCGCTGGATGCAATGATTGAGAGTCTGGGTGAGTCCCCTGTCACGGCCCCCACAGGGCTCTGGTGGCCAGCTGGCTCCCTTCCTGCTGGGGAATCAGCAGAGCGGTGAAAGGCATTGATTAAATGTTTTCCCAGAGGTTGCATAGGGCAGGGGTAGCAGCCCAGAGGCTCCGAGGTTCTTGGTTGACAGCTTTGCCATTTCGCAGCCGCCTGTGTGTCTTCACCCTTGATGGTGAGAGGTAGAGGAAATGTGGAGATGATGTAGTCTTGCCTCCTTTAGTACACGTGATGCAAATGACTCACCCAGGGTCACGCAGCACCACGACATGTGAGCCATTAGAACACTGAAGGAAAAAATAGGTCAGGATTGCCGGGAAGGAGTGGGGAAGGGTTGTCAACAATTTCCTTAGTTGTGGAGATGGTAGCAGTGAATGTGGCTTGTATGGGGACCAGGTGGGATGCTGGTGAGACTGCAGGGCAAGCATGTTAAAGAGGACAAAGCTGATGGGTGGGTGGGCTGGGTGGCAGGCCACCTTGATTGTCTGCCACAGGAGTTAGGCTGAGATTCCATTGGCTATTTGAATGTGGAATGGGTAAGAGTTGCCTTTTAGGAAGATTGTTTGGAGCCAGGGCTTCAGGTGGGAGGGATTTGGGTTGAGGGGAGTGAAATTGGAGAGGAGTTGGGGGAGGAATAAAAAGGGAAAAAGGAGGGAGCTGTGGGAGACATATCAGGAAAGGCGAGAGTCCCCGGTTCCCATGGGCTTTGCAACTTAAACATTAGGTGGAATTTTTGGTGCATCTACTTCTGGTCTCCATTCCCTTCATAGATGATTTGAAGGTGATATTTGGTATATCTAGTACAAAGGCTGAAGTGCAAGTTCAAAACCTCCACTGCGTGTGAGAATGTAGGACATGAGTAGATTTATGTCCCAACCAGTAGAACCATGAGTTTTTGCAAATCAGTCTTGCCTTGATGCAAGCTTATGATCTGAGAACATCTTTGTTTGCCTTGTCGCTGTATGTCCTGATGAGCACAGAGCGATGTCCTATCTTTAGCACCCATGGTGAGGCTAGAAACCCCGCCTGGCACACCACCCCTCCTCCCCATCCCTGTACCCTGGCCTGAGCCCAGCTTTCTGGGGCTGGGACAGCACTGTGTCCTTGGCTGGAGCCTCCAGGAGAAGTTTTAGTTACAAATCAAAGGCTCGGTCAGGCCCTTCTCTGCCTCTCGAGTTCATAAATACCGTCAATTTCCTCTCTTCATCTCAGTGGGAATTTATGATTTGCTGAGTTTGTTGCTGTAGAACAAACAATATAAATCCAGCTCTAAATTACGGCTTGTTCTCAGTGCTGCTCTGGGTAAGTGAGATTGCTGTTGCCAATAACCAAGGCTCCTGGTAAATCACCGCGGGTCCTGGATTTACTAGGAAAAACTACACCACACAAAATAGGCTTTAGCTGTTTGAAGAGCATAAGCACCCTTGCCTGGGGAGAGGAGCCTTTAACTCTTCCCCTCCAGGAGTTTTCCTTTCCATTTTGGCCATCGGGCCCGCCTCTTGAGCACATGGGAGCTCTGAAGCTTTGGGCTACAGGATCTGGTGTCCGGCATTGTCACAGGACTCAGGTCCACTTTACTTGGAACCCTGCTGTTAGCACCTAGGCTGGGTGCCCTGGAAACGGGGCCTAGGGATAACCTGCTTTTGTGATCTGACCACACCTTAAGGCAGGCTCCAGCTCCCAAGAAGACACCTCTTAGGCTAGGGTGTCCTTGAGTGTGGATGATGATGTCTCCTCTGGTCCATCAGCTGGAGGGCTTGGTGCAGGGACAATGGAGGCAGTGATGAGGGGCACTGTCTTTCTCTCTGATGCTTAGGTCAGCACTAGGCTAGAATGGAATGAGGCTGGCCTCAAAGGATGGATGGAACCCAGTAAATCCCTGGCAAAATGCTCCCTTGGGGCCCAAAGGGTGAAGCAGCAGGGTCTTGGCTTCATGTCATTTTGAACAGGTGTGGTAGTGGTCTCTCAAGGCCTGGCTTTGCTGTGAGCCATACCCTCTCAGCCTCACCAGTAACACTGGTGTCGGAAGTGTTCTTAGCTGGGAAGTGATGAGCCAATTTTCATATCCACTTAGGTCAGAACTGGAGGGATTTAGGTTGCTGACAAGGATCATTCCTCACTGCCTGCGTGTGCCAGGGTAGAGTCAGACTCTTTCCAGGAATGGTTCTCATTTGCTTGGAATGGTCTGAGTCTGGCCTGCAGAGGGTAATGTAGATGCACGTAATTAAACTTCCCACTGTCCGAGGGGATTGGGCTGTAGAAGCAGAGATGGGACAGGTGGGATAGAAGAGAAGGGATGTAAATCTTCCTTTCCACATCACCCAGGCTGTGTCTGGTGGTCCCTAGGGGACCCTTAGCACCCAGAGGACCTTCCCGGAATTGGCTTGGAGCCCTTTGAGCAGAGAGTTTTCTCCCAAGCCTGCTCTTTCATGCCCCATAAGGGATTCTGGGCTCCGAGCTAAAGAGGAACTGTGAGATGCTGTGAAATACTTAAACGTGAAAAATCACAAAGCAACAGCTCAGTATGTTATATTTATTTCCTGCTCTACGGGGGGCCAAGGGGATCAAGAATAAAGCCAGGCTAGGCTGTCTTCTGGCACAAAGTCCAGATCGCATGGCCAAACTGGGAGGCCGGCCTTCTTAGGCGGCCTCTTAAGATCCCTCTTCATTCTGGAATTCAGAGATAAAGAGATGCTACCACATCTCTTCTAGTTTTTTGGTTTTCCTTAGGGTGAGTGGGACAGGTGGTGCGCTGGTTGACAGAGCAGGTGGGAATTCTGCCCATGTCCCTTTTCTGGGGCATGGTGAGGAAGGAGGCATGTTGGCCATCTTGCTCCCTGACTTCTGCCCTTTGTCACTGCCTGAGTTGGGGCCTCTCCAGGAACGAGGCTGGAGTGGCATTCCTTCTACTCAGCATCAAGACTTTCTGATTTTAGTCCAGGTATCAAGGGCAATTAATGCAAGTGTCAAGGCAGTTCCTAAGCTGACTGGATGGTTTTATCTTTGGGCTCCGTTACTGGGTTAGTTACAGAAGAAACTTCACCAATTAAAACATCAGGCGCTGACAGCTCACCTGCTCCTGCTCAGACCGCATTGAAGCTGCTGAGCACCCAAAGGCTTAATTTATCACAGCTCCTGGCTAGTGCTGGAGAGAGCAGATAAGCTTGAAAGTGGGCGACTTCGGGTCTACTTTTGTTATTTGTACTCTGACTTTAACCTTATTACCTTATATAAATCATATGACCAACATTATATTGTTAATAGGATTTACAAATTCATCCATGGTGTCGCTCTAGTATACCAGCTGCTTAAAAGTGTCTCTTCTATTTTTTGTCTACATGATATAGAGATTTCTCTGGTTAAAAATCGGAATGTAAATACAATGTTGACTTTGCATCTTTCATTTAACACTATCCAGTTTCCCAGGTTTTTATGCACTTTCTAGTTAACTTGAAAATATAAAGTTTACTTTCCACCGTTGTAAAAATATACTTATTAATTACTGAGAGAATGGAAAATGCAAAGCATTTGAAAGGAAAAGACTCACTTGCAGTCCCCAAACCTAAAAGAAACCATTATTAATTGGCATTTTCCGTTTTACATATTTTCTTCTGTACCTGTTTATATACGAGGTTGTGCTTACATTACACATTTGAATTTACATTCTGATTTTTTTTTTAAAGGCAGAGCATGAGCATTTACATATGATTATACACTTGATTCACTTGTCACAGCTATACCATAGCTTGCATTATTTTTTGTTTAAAAGGATCATTCCCAGTTTTTTTCCCATAATGACCAGTCCTAGTTTTGGTGGCCACAGAGAATTCAGTTGTGTGACATCATAACTTACTGAGCTTATTGTATTGTGACATCATAATTCTTAAGTTTATTGTCTGGAGTCCAGTTTCACTCCAGCTTCTTTGCTGCCACTGTCCATGTGACTTGTCCAATGTTACACAGTAAAACGTGGAAGGGCCAGGATTCAAACCCAGGCAATCTGGACCTGGATCCCACACCCTTAACCTCTAGGTTTTGCTGCCTCTCATTAAACCTGAATATGACCTGAAAGGTGAGCACGCTGCCCTGTAGCAGTAGCCAGAAGAAGAGAGGCCAGCCACCCAGGACATGATGCTCTGGGATCTCTAAACCAGCTTGGACAAACAGTGTCTCTGCTTTAACACTGCCCTGTACTCTGTGAGAATTTATTGAGCATCTGCTGTGTGCCAGGCACGGCAGGAGCATGGTATGGCACAGATGTCTGCTGGATGTGCATTTATAAGTACTCCCCAAGTTTTTCACTTCTTTTCTGCCCTGGGAGGCCATGTTAGTGGCCAGGAGTGGGAGGTCCAGCTGCATCCAGAGAATGTCCTGTACTGAGTGTTTTGGGGAGAGAGCAGAGAGGGAGAAGTCCTTGTCCTCAAAGGTGAGTTCAAGGCCGATGATGGGAGTGGAACGAAGAGAAGCACCTGCACACAATAATGCAGGCGATGGTCTAAAAGCCTATTTTTACACAATTACAGCCTTATCAAGACACCCCGAGACCACTTCTTGCAAACTGCAATATTCTAGAGGCTGGCAGTTCTTTTATCTCCCAGCACAAATTATTTTAAAGACTCTTGCCTTATGGACGGAGCTTTTGCAAGCAGCAGAGAGGTACATTTTCTCCTCGATATCTTTTACAGGTCTCAGGAGGGAACAAGGGAAGTAGGAATTGGCTCTTAGCTAGAATGGTTGCCCGATAGAAAAACAAAGCTTTGATTGCACATCAGTGGGGATGCTGAGGCTCAGTGCTGAGGTATTGAAGGAACTCAGAAAAGGTGCGATTTACCTGAAAATACTTCCTCAGCCATGTCCCTAATCTCTGTCCCCTGCAAAGAGAAATCTGGCCTTGAGATGGTCAGCTCCTGGGACCCCAGGACACACTTGCTGGGGCTTGCTGTGGTAATGCCCCTCATTTCCCTGATAGGTACAGGCAGGCCCCACAGCCACATCCCTGCAAAGTGCATTTTGTTACTGGCCCCAGCTCCCATTGAACTGTATGCTCTGACTGCTGTGGTCGCAAAGTGTTGGGAGCCAGTCATGCTGGGTGCCTCCAGGCTCCGCGGCAGAGGCAATGGGAGGGAAAAGGAGACTGGTCCTACCTCCTGTATTTTCTAGATTAGTGTGCCTTGCTTGGGTGAAGGCTGCTTTCCTTACCTTGCGTAAGGAATGCAGGACTTTGTTTGCCACCAGGAGACATCAGCTAGAAGGAGGAAGAATGAGCAGCTTCTAAATTCAGTATCCATGGGGTCATGCTGGAGTTGACTTTAGAAATACCATCAAAAGAATGGCAGAAAGCCTCTTTATCCTGGAACTCCCCCACCCCCATCCCCGTTTGCTGTGACTTCACCGTTTGTGGTTCCTTTCTGCAGTTAACACTCCTTCAAGATCCATGTGCAGAGATGCTCGGTCCCCAGGCTTTGCCTGTTGGCATGGCTGGGTGGCAGGGGAAGCTGGGCTTCCAGGGCTGGGTGTGGCTGGGGTGCTGGGTGGGTGTGGGGGTGCTGGGACAATTAGAAAAAGATTAAAACTCCCCCTTTTCCCTCAGCCTCCTGAGAGGTGGACTGGGGCATGTGGAGGACACACTGCTTTCTTTGCAAGTATGTCATCTGGGTCTGAGTCTTACGCAGTGAGGTTATATATACATTTTGAGATATAAAAACTATTGAGATATAAACATGTCCCCACCCCCAACTCACAAAGTCCCTCCTCTGCCCCTTCCAGAGTCAGCCAGGAGCTTCCGCTCCTGATGGGGTAAACAGCCATCCTGGCTTGCCAGGGCCTGGGAATCTTCCTGGGACATGGGACCTTCAGCCCTAAAGTGGGGAAGGCTGGGACGGTCTGCGACGAGCTGGTCACAGTCGCTTCAGACACCGCCCTGCCCCCTCCCCGGGCTCATAGTCACTCGAGCATGGTGCTTCGGACTCTGCGTTGGGCTTCATGTTTAAGTGTCTGTCTCCTCATCACGTGTACCCCTCATCCTTTGGTCTTACTGAGTCTCTAGCTCCGTGCCTGTTTCATAGAGAATATCAGTAAATGTTCAGTGTGGAGATAACTGATCACCCAGCTGTGGTACGTCCTGTGTCTTGGAGCACGAGTTCAGGCTCTGATGTCACAGACCGTCTGTCAGGTGATTTCTGAATCCTGACCCCAACCCTTTACTGAACTCTGGTGTGACCATGGCTAAGTGCCTCAGTTTCTCCTAAAACTACATTTATATGCCCACATCTATATCTGTCTATCCATCTATCTCTATTAGCCATCTGTCATTTTTATTCATCTATCATCTACTATCAATTATCAGTTATCAATCAATCATCAATAATCTATCAATTATCTATCATTAATCATCTATTATCATCTATCTGTCTATCAATTATCTATCTATCTATCATCTATCTATTATTTATCTCTCTCTATCTACCGCCCCTTTTCCTCAAAGCTCACGGTAATTTTGAGGAAGCACAAACAATATGAAGATCTGTGGGAGGAAAAGGGCCTATTTGGAGACAGTTTATTCTAAGCTACTCACTCTTCTCCAAATAACCCATATAAAGTAGCCCCTTGTGACCTGGAAAAATTAATTCAGCTCCCCAAAGAGCCTCTTCCCCATACAGGCATCGTGGGCACCTGGCACCGAACAGCTGGTGCCATTGCTCAGGCCCAGCATCACGGCCGCTCACTCGCTCTCTCTTTCAGACAACCTTTGCCTCCTACAAGCGTTTGCTGGGCGGGTGCATTTCCTGAGTGGCCAGGCAGTGCTCGATGTCACGGACCGTCTGTCAGGTGAGCGCCCCGCCCCCAAAGCCTTCCAGCCAACCTCTGTTCTTCTCTCATGGCAGACAGTTAGTTGAACCACCCAGTTATCCCAGACCAAAAATGATCACAGATCATTTAAACTTTTTTTGATAACCTACTTTTTAAAGATAATCCCCACGTTGCCAGAAGACGATCTTTACTTTTGGTCAAAATGCAGGTTTGTACATAGCTAACATACTTTTAGGAAACTATCGTGCTTTCTTCCTCTCTGCCACTAGCCTATAGGTCACCTGACCCCTTGCAGACAGGCACCGCTTTGCAAGTGCTTGGCCAGCAGCAGCACTGTCGCGAGAATCAGACAAAATCTCCTCTTCTCCGGCATGTGCAGCCAGGCGAGCAGGACACGGGCCAGATTTTAACCCCGTTTGTTGCTCAAAATCAGCATTTTCTGGGTGAAAGCCTTCCTGTCCTTGTATAGATAATTTACAGGGCCCAGAGGTGGGTGGGTACCTCACTTTAGATTATCCATTTACTATAAATATTTTTTATCTATTTCCAAGAGACCCCAAAAGCAAGAGTTTCTATGCAGCGTTTCTGTTAACTAGGGATCAGAGAGACAGAGAAGAAAATTTCCATTGACACAAGGTGTGGACTAATAATAGCACAGCTTAAGAGGAGTAAATCTTTTGCTAATTACTTCAGCTGCCTTTTAAGCTTGAGTTTAATGAGGTTTTCTTCCTCATGATGACTCCCAGGGGGCCACTGCCTCCTCTGCCTGTGTGAGAGCCCTAACTCTGCCGGCCAGGTGATCTCCCCCTCCCCGTATCCGGGAATGTGGACTTGAGGAGTGGGTGGGATTGGGTTCCTGAGGAGTAAGCTGCCTGGGGGCTGGAGTGTAAATGTCTCACTGTGGGCAGAGTGCCCTTGTGCACAGGTCTGGCAAGGTGGCTGTGTTGGGGGCACACGTACCCCTCATCCTTTGGTCTCAGCAAGGGAGCCCTGCCTTGGGAGCATTCTCATCTTCATTTGCAGGTGAGAGTCAGTGGAGATTTAGGAAACGTTTGATTTATAGTTGTTTGGAGTAGGTAGCTAATCAGGAGCACTTTTCTGTTTGTTCCCTTGTGCTGCACCCCCTCCCGTGTCCCCCTCACTCCCCCACCCTAACTAAGGACTGACTGGGGCAGCTTTGCTGTTAATCGTGCCCTTTCTTCACAGCCTGTTCCAGGTGCTCATTCCACTTGATGAAGTGGCTCGAGGCCCCTCTCCTCTGGGAGACTTTCCTAGTAGCTGAGCTCCTGCCTCCCCCAGGAGTGAGGACCACCTCTCCTTCTGAGGGCTCTGTGACATTGGGGAGCCCCTGGGGAGCACTGAGAGTCAGTGTACACAGTCCAGAGGAAAGGACCCCATGAGAGGCGGGCTGAGCTGAGGGGGCCCAGGCGTTCCTCTCTCCTTCCCTAGTGTTTCGGGCTGGCTCTGAAATCAGGAGGCCCTGTGGAGCTCCTGCTGGAAGATATTCTGAAGGACTGAGTGATGTTAAGCTGATGAAGGAAGAACAAATTAGGGGGTTCACGAAAAAATGGAAGTCCAGACCAGCCTCTGAAATGCAGAACCCCTGAAGGTTTGGGGCAGTGAGGTCTGGAAAGAGCGTGAACTTTGGAATCAAGCAGATCTGGCCGCTGGCCTCAGCTCTGCCCGTTAGCTGTGTGGTCTTGGGCCAGCTCTTGACCCGAGTCTTGGTTTCCTCCTCTGAAATGGAAGAGCATCTTGCCTCTCCGGGCATTGCGAGCATGAAATCCCGCTGCAAAACTCTGAGCCCGAGTCAGGACGCAGGCCACGTTAGTTTCCCCGGGCAAGTCTTGGCCTACAGAACCTTCCTAGTTCTTTGCCCCATAAATAAAGTGCTGCTCTCAGTGTTGTTTGCCTTGGCCAGCTTTTTTCCTGCCTGCAGACTACAGGCAGAGTGCACTGATTATAAAGCAAGCATTGTTAGTAGGAAGGCACTTCGGGTAACATGGCTGTGGCTGAGGACAGGAGCAACACCCCCCCAGACGACTTGGGGTAGCCCTCGACATGGCTTTGATATCAGCCCTGGTGTTTACTCTGCAATGGAAGCTTGCTGGCAGGTTTAGCCGGCTTCTGGGTTTTCTGGGGTTTAGAGAAGTTGGGGAGCCGTGGGGTAACCGGAGTTAGGGGCGCTCATCACTGAATGATAGTTATGGAGCACATTCATGCCTCCTGGATTGCTGCTGGTCTTGTCCTAAGGTCTGGCATCCAGATACAGGGAAGGCCACCCTGGTCTTACCTCCTGCTGGCTGTTTTATTTTTCCGAATACTTCATTTGAGGGAGGCTTGACTTCTCTTCCTCGTACAAGTTTTCCCTATGTTTGTGTGAAGTCTCCTAGGTGGTGATGCAGATTAAAGCAATATTAGTACTAGCTACTATTTGTCGCTAGCCTGCTTAGGCACTTCAAGTACATTTATTATCTAATCTCTAACCATCTCAAGAGTTTGGCTCAGGATTATTATCCTTACAGATTAGGGAACAGGCTCAGAATGATGGGGTGGCTTTCTCAAGCTCCCACAGCTAGTAGAGAGCAGAGGCAGGATTGCAGTCCAGGTGCGTCTGCCTCCTCCTCCCCTGGGTTTTGCAGAGACCCGATGGGTCAGTCATGAGCCCCGAGCACTTTTGCCTTTGCATACACCTTCCTCCATAAAAAATACGAAAAATTGTATTTTACGACCCGTTGGTATAAACACAAATGTAAATCGGGCTGTATATCTACATCTTTTTTCTTCTGATTTTAAAACAAAACATTTTCATGGGCCCCTAACATAGTGTGAGTCTAGTTAGTGTGTCTAATGGATCGGTTTGCCTTGCTGGGCTGCCTGCCCTCTGAGGGACAGAGTTGTTGTCCCAAGAGAGGCAGTGGAAGAGGAAGAGAGGCCTGACTCAGGTGACTCTTCCTCTTTTCTGCATGACAGTGCTGGTAGCCTCGGTTTATCCCCGAAAGCCCCAGGCCGTGGAGCGACATGTCCTTCCCGTCCTCTGGTACTTTCTGAACAACATGATCGGGAGTGGCATCCTGCCTGGGCATGGCGGGAACATCCGCCCAGCGGTGTGCCGGCTGTCCAGGCGCCTCCAGGAGCAGATGGGCTCCCGGCTGCAGGACCTGGCTGCCGGCCAGCCAAAGCAAGTCCTCAAAACGCTCCAGGAACTCTTAGACACGGAACCCCTGTGAGGCAGCCCCAAGATCGCCGACAGAGGGCTGGCACCCGACAGCGAGACCACCGGCAGCTCATGCCCCTTTCAGCTGGATTAGAGACAGATCTGAAATGGCAATCATCATTTTTTACCTTACTTTATTTTTATGATGGCATAATCTGATCTACTTTTTCTTAGAGTTCCAGATGTGCATAGTATATTTTGAAGTAGAAATAAAAGCATTACTTATTTTTCTAAGGTTTTCTTGTCTTCCACTTTTTTAACCTCAGAGAATTTCCCAATAACTAGATTTGTGACAAAAACGAAGCACAACACAACAGCAAAACCAGCTGTAGATAATACTGAGACAAAGAGGGAGAAAAAGTGTAGCACAGACCCACATATCGCAGGACATTTGGGGGCATTGCCCCCCATCTTTGAGCAGCCGGACAAGCCTTTCCTAAAAACTAGAGGTCCTGAGTTGGTCATTCAGATCCAGTCCATTTGTTATTGGCCTGATCAGAGGTGAGCGTAACAGACATCTCTGGGGCATTGTGCTTCTGCCTTACAAAATCTGAGCAGTGTCCCTTGGTTCTATGCAGACCTTCTAAATGAGATCTGTCGAGCTTATCAAAAGGCAAGGAGAGTTTGACATTTGCATTACTAAAAGCCTTCTCTGGAAGTTGGCGTGCTGGCTAGTTTATAAGAGGACGAGAGATGTTTTACACTTGAAATACCATAAATGAAAGCACTCTGTAGAGCATAAAGCTCAACATGACGTGCGAACGTCACGTGGAAGCTCTGGAATTGCACAGGTTACTCCACCTGGGCCGGATCACGAAGCTGGAGGTGTGTTAGATGCAGGGTGGGCCCGGACACGAGGGAGTCGAGAGACGGTGTTGCCGACTGATGGAGCGGCCAGAGCAATGGCGTCCTGGCAGCGAGGAGGGTGGTGGAGGGCGTTCTGGGTTTGGGCTCTGGGCACAGCAGGAGTGGCTCTGCCTTGACTAGGGTCAGCGAGAGGTTGACAACTTGCGACTAGGCAGAATTAGATCTCAGGTTATCACCTCGAGGATACAGAGGAGGTAAAAGCTGAAGGGATAGTATCCCAGCCCCAGGCGAGGAGCCTAGACCCACAGCGGCACTTGGGGGCTGAGCCAGACGGTGGGGCCTGCGGCTCCGGCCTCACGCCAGTAAGTTTTCCCCTGGCTCTCATCTTCCCGGAGCTTAGCATTGCTGTGCTGAGCCTTCCCTGGGGAGTCTTGTTCAGGGCAGGCTGGGAAGCCCCAGATTGGTTCACCCATCTATTTCCAAACTCCGTGGGTGCCCCTGGCTGAGGAGGCCACTGTTCCATCTTGCCCACGTTGCCAGGTGTAACTAGGCTGCCCCCTCCCCCAGTGCCCTGGGGTGAGGTTGGACATGGCATGGCCTGCTGGGACTTGGGCTTTATCAGGGCTTTAAGTGATTCTGGGTAATTCTAGCCTCTGTGCGAGTGCTTCTCACCAATCTTGACCCCAGCAGAGGCTTCTCTGCAACCACCTTCCCCTTTGTTGATTCTGACTGTACCAGGGTAAAGCCTGGTAGCCCGGGAGCCATCAAAAATGCTCAAGAGGCTGATTTTAAACAAGCGTTAAATTTTACACAATTTAATTGATTTTGTTTGCTCAGAATCTGAGCAAACTTTTTGGATTTGGTCAGGAGATTAAATTTTCTGCTTGTCAAGATCCTATAGCTTTTCAGACTATTTCAGGACTTTCTTTTAGAACTACAGGAACCCAAAGACGTGAAGTCTGGCAGGGATTTCAAAGGCAGAAAGTGAGCTCAACGTCTTTGTCCTGTCTTCCTGCGTTCCTGTCCTGTCTTCCGAGTACATTTTCGAACCCAGAGCTTCTGTCCCCTGTGCTCTGCACCCACTCGCATGGTGGAGGTGTGTAAAACAACTGAAAACAGCCGAAAAGCAAAGACTAAATCTTTGCCTTGTTCTATTTTCCTTTGCTATTTCAGGTTTTAATCTAGTCCCCACAGCCCTGGGCTTTGGGCGATGCCCCTGGCGCAACCTTATTGGGGCCGGGCTGGGCTGGTTCTGGCACCTTGGGAAATTTCAATCTCAAAGGGTTTTCCACGTTGTTACTTTTAAAACAGAGGGAAGTTAGCGCATTAGTAACCTGGGTCTGATGTCTGATTGATAAAGATCGGAAAGGTCAACAAATGGATCTAAGGCCACAAGCCAGCAAGAAACAGTACCTGGACTTGAGTCCAGCCCCTCTGACCCGAGTGCCCAGCCTCAGTCTTCATCCCCAACCCCAGGACACCCACAGGCTGCCAGGTGAGGAGAGCTGTTGGGAGTGTCTGAAAGAATGGGGCCTAAGGGAAGGCCTGCGGTGGGAAACTAAGGTTGTCCTGGGGGCTGGGGGCGGGGCAGGTGAGCTGAGCCCACCCAGTCTTTGCTTGGCTGGATGCGAGGCCAGGAACTCTACTTACCTAAGATGCTCTTGGGGATGGGAGTAGAGCCTCCAGTTATAGAAGATTCTCTCTCATTTGGGAACATGCGACTGCTTAGGACTTCCTTTCCCATCAATAGAAATTTTCGAGATTTTAGAAAATTTTCCTACCGGCCCCACCTCTTATTTTCTCTGCGTATTCTCCTACCTTCTATGCTCCAGAACCATCTGGTGAGATTTTGAAAGATACTGACGTCCGGGCCGCATTCCCAGGGATTCTGGTTCAGTGATTGGGGGTGGGCCGCAGGCAGCTGTCTTGTTTCGTTCTTTCTCTTTTCTCTGCCTTTTCTTTCTCTTCTTCTCTTCAAGTAATTCCCACGGGTGACCAGATTCTGAAACCACAGCAAAAACAAAGGTGTAGAAAAGTGGCAATGGCTTCGGCCCTCTAGGCTTCTGTCCTGCCAGCTCTCCTCACCTGGCAGCCTGTGGGTGTCCTGGGGTTGGGGATGAAGACTGAGGCTGGGCACTCGGGTCAGAGGGGCTGGACTCAAGTCCAGGTACTGTTTCTTGCTGGCTTGTGGCCTTAGATCCATTTGTTGACCTTTCCGATCTTTCTTTATCAATCCAGTGTGTGTGTGTGTGTGTGTGTGTGTGTGTGTGTGTGTGTGTGGTAGATGGGTGGCGAGAAGATGACAACCATGCCCACTTTCATTGAGCTACTGTGATAATTAAATAATTCTTGTGAAGTACTTAGCACAAGGCCAAGAGCCCAGGAAGCCCTTGAACGTTGACCATTACTGTATTTTGGGGGGCGGGGCGGGTAGGAGGGTAGTCATTGCTTTAGGAGCAGCTATGATCAGGGTCTTGTGGTTCCTCCTGCCTTGGAGTTGAAAGAAGAATGTGCCTCGGGGCCTTGTGGGGCCTGAGGTCCACTGTCAGCCTGGCTGGGCTCCTTTCCGAGGGCAGAGCACTTTCAGCCCTCTCTGCTGGGAGCTGGGGCTCTTCTCACCGTTTGGGGGCCTGTCATCTCTCAATTGCCTTCCCTTTCTCCTCACTTGACATGTCCCTCAGCTGCGAAGTTTGGAAACTGCTCCAGGCAGCGCTTGCTTCCTCCCCATCCCCCACCCCCTCCTCTGGCTCAGCTGGAGGCAGAATGAATCGGAGGATTAAAAAACACTTTCTTGCTAAAGCATTTTCCTTTCATTATAACTCAGTTCTGTCATTAGGGAAGGAAAGGGAGAGAGATGAGAGTAGAGGATCGGCTGTTCTTCTGGTGATGGAGGGAGGAAGACGGAGATGAGGGGAGGGGCCAGCCTCTCAGCTGAGTGTCTGCAGTGTTCCCAGTCGGTCGTGCTTCTCAATGTCTCTTAAGGAAGATATTCTTCTCCCCATTTCCGGGTGCATCTCAGAGATGCTTCATAGGCTACTTCAGCCAGTGCGTGGGAACTACTGGGAATCTTGTTAAAGTGCTGATTCTGATTCAGCAGGTCTGGTGTGGGGCCCGAGTTTCTGCATTTCAAAGAAGCCCTCAGGTGACTTTGATGTTGCTGGCCTGGCAGGGATCACATTGAGGGGATCAGACTCTACACACAGCTAGAAGTGACTGGAGCTTGGATCTGTGCTCAGGTTTGTTTGACTCCAAAGCCCCTGACCTCCTCCAGGGTACTCTGTGGTTCTGAGATACCCACCCCCATCCCCCCAAAGGGTGTCAGTCGGAGCCCTGTGAGAGGACCAGGTGAAACCCCACGGTCTCCAGGAGTTAGTCTGGTTTCAGAGTTTTGCCCCTCAAAACTTCAGGGCGGAGAGGGTCCGCTAGGTCTGCTCTGATCGCCAAGGCATGCTGCAGACACTTGGCTGTCCACCCATGGCCCTGGTGGGGGTAGGATTGGTGCAGCAAAACAAAGACCACCCAGGTGAGGAAAGCCAGGACTTCATGCACAGCTTGCTATGGCAAAGGAGTCAGCCACAGTCACTTGTGTACTGGCAGAGACTCAAGGGCAGGTAGAAGAGTAAAAACGCTTTACAGAGGGAAAAAGGGAAGGCTGCAGGTGTGCCGTGATCAGAGGATGTTGGCATGGGGAAGGCACAGGCGCAGTGCGGGCTGTGGCTGCTGGCAACAGCAGCACCCGTGGTGTTTGTTGAAGTACAGAACCCTAGGCCATACTCCAGACCTAATGAATCAGGACCCTCTGTCATTCTTACAAATCCTCAGGGTTGAGAACCTCTGCTGCAGTCTCGATGCTCTCAGGGGTTGTTAGGTTCCCAGGCTAGCCCACACCTGGGAGTTACATCCCTCAGCCAACATTTCCCAAACGTGGTTGATGAAAACAATTGCTTGGCGAAGAGGTGGGGAGACAGGGCTGGGGTGTTGGTTAAACATTCAGATTCTTAATCTCGGCTGTAGATCTGTCCCTGGAAGAGGCATCTAAGAGTTTGCGAATCATCGAGCAGCCAGGTTATTCCTAAAATCAGGCAGGCTAGAGAAACGGCGCCTGAACCACTTGTTTCCAGCTGGGCTCCAGGCCCACCTTGTGCAGACAGGCAGGGCACCATCGCCTTGTGCTCACCAGGTGGATGTTTCTGAGTCAGGGACACT